TGACAAACAAATGGAGAATTTTGCATAGGCCTTTGAATGTTAATACAGATTTTGCCGTTAGTATTGTTAAACCTTGTGCTTCACAATTTCGTGAGGGAAAGAGATGGCTATAACTTTGAGGATAGGGTCAATGTGGGTAATTGGAGATGCTTTTGAAGTTTATATGTTTTTATACACAAAAAAATGTATATTTAATTAATTATTGCTCGCAAGTGGGTCGTAAAGAGATTTATAAGCGTTTTTCCAATATATTTTTGTTTAAAATATTATTTAAAAGAGGGTCTTTTAAATAATATTTTATATAAGAAAGCTAAGAAAAATATGGTGTTTTTATTTACCCCAAAAAAATGAATAAATCGGGAAGTCGGGGGCAATTGAGAACAAGTTTGTTGTTTGTTGTTTTTATGCTATTAAAATAAAGAAATACTGGCGGGGGTAGATCGAAACATTCTAAAAATATTCTTTTATAGGAAGCTTACATAGTTGATTCGTTTCCATTTACCCCTGTGTTGTATTGTCTCATAAAACAGAACATTGGTTTATTGAAAATGTGAACATATTCTACCTAAGGTAGAAACAACGTTTTAAGTGACAAAGTCTAAGGCTAAAACTAAGGCTAAACACAGTACTGAAAGGCTTTGGAAACATTGCAAAAATAAAATTATAAAAAAAACACCTAGACCCTTTCAAAAATATCGAGGGGCTTGGAAAATTTGTAGTAAACTCGTTCTCCCTTCATTACAATGATAGGGTCGGGAGTAATTCCAATTATTTGGTCAATTCTTTCAAACTAATATCATTTTCCGAAATAGAAAAAATGGTGGAATCATCATTTGTACATCTTAAGGTCATAACTTTTACTTCATCTTCATCTAAGTCGATTTCTTCTATTACGCATAAGTATTTGTACAAAGTGGTCAACTACCACCCTTAAATACAACTATGCCAAATTTCTCTTCCTTTAAGTTAGTGTTTGTGTCCGCCGGTTGTAGGTCTTGATAATCTTCTTGTTCTTCCCAGGGGCTGTCGTCGGTCTGCATAAAACACTTCCTTTTCACTTGCATCTGAAGATGAATCCTTTTTGTTTCTTAATTATTTTTTTTCATTTCTTGGCTTCTTTTTTTCTGGAGCTAATGACTTCAGTTTCTTCGTTCCTTTTCTGTTTTCCTTTTTTATTGCCTTTGCCAGTTGTTTTTCTTTATTCTTGAATTGTTTTCATTCTGTTTAGAACCCTCATCAGTTGTTAACACTTCCCCATATGCCAGTTGCTTTAGTCGGGGCACTACTTCAGTGGAAGCTGGCTTAGATGTTATCGCTGCATCTAGATTTCTTTTTGCAGGTATGATATCAGTAGATGTTCTAAATATCTCCATTAGATCTTTTTTTGTAGGGCTGATAAAATCTTCTAAGTTTGGGGTAGAAGCCAAATTGGTCGTACTAGTAGAAAGAATGTCTATAACATATAATTTGGTTTGATTTTTCGTCACAGTATGTCAGTGGCTCTTCACCTGGTGAAAAAAAAAAGATCAAGGGTATTGTCTGCCTTTGAGATAGACAAAGAAAGCAGGCACGCCATGACGAAAAAATGGCATTAAAAAGAGAAATGTTCGAATGGTTTAATTGGTCAAAAGTGGAAAGCAGTTCGAAAATAGTTCCATAGAGTAGTTTATTGTGTTGTATTTTTAAGTCAATTTTAGATAATAAAACATTTTTTATTAAACATATTTTATTCAGAAATTGGAAAACAATTAGTAGAAAACTAGACCAAACATAAAGTTAATTCTTATTGCTGCCCATGGAAAAGTTGCTGAGAAATTAACTCTCTTTTATGTTGTCCTAGTTGTAATAAATGTCTTTGTTCAAATTGAATGTTATAATTATTATTAGGTTCTACGAGGATCTGTTCATTATAGGCAGGTACTTGTTCAAGATCTATTAAATCATTGTTTAATATACAAATATTATAAAGTACACAACAGGCCATTATATATTTTGGTATCCATTCCTCTTTTTTAACGTCAAAGAATTTTAAGCATCTTTCTTATCTTCTCCCCTTTAACAATCCAAAGGCCCTTTCAATAACGACCGTTTCGTCTGTTGATGCTGCCAAAATAAATGTGCCCTCAACAAAGGTTAAATAATAATCGATATTCTCTCTTTCGTCATCGGACAAGTCTAGCAAGTCTATAATTATTTTAGTAAGACTTAAATGAACAAGGAAGTGCGCCCGAAGCACCCTGGAATACGCATGACCAGACAGTATCTTGCCGACTCAATTAGGGGCATATATAATCTGCAGCACATCCTCCAATCAACTACCCGCCATAATATAACCAACAGATGCAAGGAACGAGAGGAGGAGATGGATCCAGTCGGACAACCACATTTGCCAATGTTGGTGACGTTCCTGGAGCCGCGATAATGTCGCGCGCTTTTCAGTAGAGCGGTTGATCAAATGTGACGAAGCAGGTGACTTGATTATACTTTCTCGCCTGGGACGCCGCTAAATGTAACGATGTATGTATTGTACTATAATCTGACGGTGAATCATGGATAAACGGCAGAAACAGAATTTTTGTTCGTTCGAAATATTTATCGGTAGTAGCCTTCTGTATAAAGCCGTTCCATCCTGGTACATTAGGACTGCATCCCCACTTTCCATATAACCACATGAAGTCTCCAATGGTTGGCAGCACTTTACATAAAATAGGCCGCATAGCCGCAACATCACTTACAACCAAATGGTTCAGACCAGCATTTTTTGCCAGATTGTACGGTATTATTTGCAGTTTGTCATAGTCATCGCTGAGTACTGCTGATTGCAATTTTTTGTTACGTGCAACTGGTACGTCTGCTTGGATGACAGACGAAGGCGTGATGCAATATACATACCTCTAATGCAATAGATACCTCCCATTCCGTGAAAAGTATTGTGACCGTCCAATATATTGATATTGAAGTCCGCGTTATCAAACACAAATTCCATAAACCCATTGTCCGATATATTCCGTGCGGGTCGTTCAATTGAAGCTATCTCGTAGTGGCGGATCTCGCTATATGACGCTGATATACACAAAGATGAAAGAATGTCTATGAGTAGCCATGAACCAAATTGTTTATAGAGAAATATACCAATCCCTAGTCTTAATGGCGACAAAAATGAGCGAGGTCGCATTCCGTGAATAATGAGATGCCAAATGGTTGTGCATAAACATTTCCACGACGCGATGTTAGCTTTTTTGTCCGTAAGAATAACTTCATCCAGAAATGCATCAAGTGCTTTGGGAATCACACCTTGCACTCCATCCAAAAACTGGTCGGAGGGAGGATATGAGCTGGTGTCGTAGGCTTTCTTACGTATATAGCGGCGGAGAATACGTCCTGCTTCTCTCATTGATTTTTCTATATCCACCTCAGTGTTGATGTTGTCACTTTTTAAAGATTCCCTCAATATTTTTTCCCCTAAAGTTTAAAACACACTACAGAGCCCATTCCCCGACTTTCATAGAACATAAGCTCCTGACCGTAATGTTCTTCCAACCGAATTTTAACAGTTGCAATGGAAGGCTTATATTCCCCGCGAATTTGATCAATTAAATAACCAACAGTAAATTGACACTTGTCAGCATTTTCCTCTAAATTATTATTATTATTGCAGCGGCCGAAATAATTTTTGAGTCTGTGTAATCCCGACGACACTTAACATAGAATGAACTTGAATACACACTGCTCAGCATGTTTTCATGGCCAACGTTGCCCCTACCCACACTTGCATTTAGAAGCGGGAGAACTGTGACAGCCCCAATTAACTGTTCACAGTTCATTCAAGTCGGATATGTTCTTAGCCTGGATCTGATCGGTAGGTTTTAACAGTTCCATGATGATCGCTGCCTTAAGGTTGTCAGGTCGGGTTGGCTCTAGTCTAGAAAATAAAGCGATCTTCCTGGATATAAAGATACTTACTGGTTCTTATGTTCTGCTTGGCCTTCGCCGTATAACTGAGAAGTAAGTTGTGCCAGTCAACAATATATTATTAAATCTCTCATAAAAGCCCATTATTACCCATCTTCAAAGTTTTTCCCTGTTAAATTGAGGCAGATGTAAGGCTCGTACCACTTTCTTGCTTCACCATTTAGCCTAGACACAGTAAAAGATACTTTTTCTTCATCAGTTATGTGGTTTGGTTTGGTTGCTTTTTCTTTAAAATACTTTTCTAAAGCATCGATAAAGTATATGGGGTTCTCATGGACAAGACCAGTAAAATTGTGGGTAAATTTTGTCTTAGGAGAGTTACATGTTGCTTGTTGGAACAGTTTTAATGCTTCGGTGAAAGAATTGGTTACATTTAGTAGGATTTGTTCTGTTGTTGGAGTCTTGTTATATTTGTCAATGCTTAAATCTATAATATCTAATTGATTTAACTGGTCACTGCTGTCTGTTGAGTCTTTGAAAGGGTTGTGGGAACTCTGCTTATCGAAGACAGAAAAGTCTAGAAAATCACCGTCATTCTTGGGAAGCTTGTGCGTCTCGTCGACAACCTTGAACGATTTCATCTTACTTGTTAGCAGCTAATTCTCTAGCTTCAGCTCCACGTTGTTGAGCGCCATGAATACGAATGCTTTTCGTGGGTTTTCCTTTATTCAGAGTCAACAATTTCAAATAATAACTCTTTATTTCGTACTTTTTTCCACCTCGACCAGCCTCGACACCCTTGTCGCGTCGTCTTTTTTCCGAAGAGAATCGTTAGGCTCCTCCTCTACTTCCTTTACGTTTTTCCCGTCAAGACAAGGCGCCAAATTTGAATTATAATTAGGGAGGGGCGTATTTAGTGCTATAGCGATATACGATAACAGTATACAATGTATACATACATCCTTTTTAAACAATACCTAGAATATTATATTCTGATGAAAAATATAGTTTTCCGAGGATGTTTGCTTCTTAAATAGATAATATTAGGTAGGCACTTATAATTATTTATTTAAACCTAAGGTTTATTGTAATTATAGATATGGAATAGAACAGTAATATACACAGAAAAGGACACCTTATGTAACAACATTTATGACATGATGAAGGAATTTGAAAATCGTAAAAAGAAAAAAAAAACATTAGTTAGTTTATCAAAAAATTTGAGAATAACTGCCAGAAACAATTGGGCCCAAATGTTGGATGGATCAATAGAGGATAATAGCTTAGAACTTTGCATAATCCATGATCATGGTGGTAAGTTTAAAAATAGTTCACTTATCGTGTTTTTCAAAGGATTTTACAAGGGTTTTTATGTGACAAGAAGCTGTATGAAATATTTTCTTTAAGGTCTGAGTGTCCCTGTGGAGGAAACACCTGAGGAAATAATAATATATTTTATTGAGTATTTTTTTGAAGCAGTGGATTCAAATAGCCACGAAAAAATGCAAGAGGTTAATGTACATAAAATCGGTAAGAATTTCAAATATTTTGCTTAAGGTGAGCTCGACAGGTACTTGAACTTAGCCATTTGCATTCCATTTTATTACAATGTATTGCTGTCAAAAATACATAAAATTTGACATATTTTGACAGCAATCCAGATTAAATGGCCGAATTCTACTCCTACCAGTTGAGTTCAGCTGGACTATAATTTGAACTTGCAAAAGGAATTCGTGTTGTATCTACACAGGCCAATCTGTTTTTAGCTAATGAGCCTCCAACACCTAATTCAAAGCCTGCAAAATCTTTAGGTATGTAATTTTTATAAAATCAATAGGGAAAAATAATAATTATCCAAGAGTAACATTTATAAATGCACCTGGACTTATTAGGGAATAGCTTGGGGAATAGTATATCAGTATCATCACCAGCCGCCCCCTCCTGTGACCGGTTTCGGTGCCTTTACACCTCATCAGACAGGCTATAGGCAGCTGGTGACACTGACATAATTAGCTGTTTTTAGCTAGTGAGCCGTCAACTCCTAGTTCAAAGCCTGCAAAAATTTTAGGTATGTAGTTTTTATAATAATTTTAAGTTACTTATCACAAAATCAATATGGTCAATAATTATCTTTTTTTAGCTAGTGAGCCCCAATACCTAGTTCAAGGCCTGGAAAGATTTTAGGTATGTAAATTTTCTAAATAATTATTTTAAATTATTCCAAAATCAATAGGGTAAATAATTATCTTAAGTAATGTTTGTTACAGGTGCAGTTAAAAGTAGAAAAAGTAAAGCTAATACTCAAAGGCAAGGACTAGCATACTTGGAGCAATACGATAAGCAACAAAGTGACATAAAAAAACAATTGGAACTAGAAGAACGAAATATAATAGTTGCAGAGAGGATGGTCGAATTGCTTGAAAACAACATCAATCAGCCGAATTCCAAATTAAGAAACAGTTTGAATTAATGGAACAAACAAATAGTTTTGAAGTGCAAAATCAACAAAACTTATAGCTATGTCTGAAAGGCAAGACAAAATAATTAATTTACTTATAAGTAAGATAACTTAAACTATATCCAACTTCATAATAGAGTAAAATTGGGTTTTGTGCAAGAGAGATTGGGAGATTTGATTACAGGGAAAATAATCATATGATTGTTACCTTGCATTTTAAGCCAATACAATGAATCTCCCTGTGTCCAAATCACCCTCGCACTAAAAACCCAGCTTAAAATAAATGTAAACAAAAACAGGCCTAAACACATGACATATCTGTCACATTTACCATTTACCAATTAAATTAATGTATATCCATAGAGATGTATGATTACCTTTTTTGAATTGATGACTTTTCACCTAAGTAATACCAAAGAATATTATGTAATAGGTACATTGTATCATTTGGATTTTTTAGTTTTTTATAATTTTATAAATGGAAACATAGAGAGGAGAATCAGTCTGTTTCCATGTGGGGTTAGGGCTTGTGGTGACAAAAAGCAAAGAAAGGGCTTACCGGTTTATTTTTATTGCAACAGGTGTGGAAAAGAAAGGTTGTTGCTGCAAATAAAAGAAAGCGTTCTTTGAAGTCACAAGGGTCTTGTAAAATTAGTGCCTCCTGCACATCAGCGATTATTCTAAAGCATGTTGAAGATGGTATAAAAATTAAATATTTCAAAACACATTATGGTCACAACCACAAAATAGCACACATTCCTTTATCTAGAAATGATAAAAACATCATAGCCTCACAAATTATACAAGGTAATTATAAAATTTCTTTGGACATTGATCCAGTGCATTTTGAAATCTGTTTTACAATTTTTCAGGAGTTTCCCATACGGAAATATTGAAGAAAATCAGAAAAACTGTGGATACCAATTTTGAAAGGATTCATTTGACAAGACATGATATTCAAAATATCATGCAATCTTATAATTTACAGAGTAAATCTGTAAGACATTCAGATGATTCACTAAGCGTGGATTTGTGGGTGAATGAGGTTCAGAATTCAAATGAAAACAGTGTTTTACTGTATAAAAAACAAGGCGAGTGTCATCAAGACTTTTCATTGAAAAAAGAAGACTTTGTAATGAAGTTCATAAATTTTGGGGCTCATTTCTGGGACACCCCGTATACTGTACTTAAATAATAGGGACCTTTTCTGTAAACAAGGTTAGGCAATGTATTTTATTGTTAACTCATTATGGTAATGAACTTCATTAATGTTCTTACCGTTGAATTAAATGCGTTAGATATTTAATGACCATATTGTAATAGAGTTTTGATCGGCGTTACTCGCTATAGTTCGGTACGGCAGCCGAGAAGCTGGCCCTACCAGTACCGGTCGAGTGGAGGGGAGGGTCGTTTGAGTATACCCTGGCAGCGAGAGCGCCAGGTAGTCAGTGGTGTGATCGCACGTGAACAGTGAAGTTCGAGTCCGGAGTGCCCTGCCAAGTACCCTGCTGCCAGCCGCCGTTGCCGCTCTGAAGAAGGTAAGTCCAGCCGCCAAAGTGATCGAGAGTAGGTCGTTTTCTTTTTATTGTTAATACGGTTTGTTTTACTGCCTAAACGCGTTATAGAATAAGGGAGATAGAGATAGTTAAATTCGCTCCAGGTGTCTCGTGTCCTACTGTAGAAGTAAAAATACGTGCAAGGTAGAGGCATCTTGTTCCGAAACGCGCGTACGTAAAATTTAACCAGACTTGTATCCGCTCAAGGTGTCAACTGTCCTACTATAGAAGTAAAAATACATGCAAGGTTGAGGCATTTTGTCCGGATCCCGTGGACGCGAAGACCGATTTCTTTTGGTTAAAAGGGAGACAGATAGCGGTTAAGGTAGTACAACAAATATACGGGCGCGAATATCCTTGGAGCTAAGGCAGGATCTCGTCCATCCCGAGACTGGTTCTGTAGTTCCCGTATTCTCATCAGGAGCGCCGTGGGATCTCGCCGACATCCCGAGGTGGTCCTGACCGGGCGGTGTGGACTGTGCTTATCCAGACGACTAACCGAGACGCCGTTTCGTTCTACTGCGAACGATCCAGGGCTCGCGTGCGTACCTATCCCACAGGACTCCGTTTCGTTCTACTGCGAACGATCCAGGGCTCGCGTGCGTACCTATCCCACAGGACTCCGTTTCGTTCTACTGCGAACGATCCAGGGCTCGCGTGCGTATCTATCCCACAGGACGCCGTCTCGTTCTACTGCGAACGATTCAGGGCTCGGGTGCGTAATTATCCCACAGGACGCCGTTTCGTTCTACTGCGAACGATCCAGGGCTCGCGTGCGTACCTATCCCACAGGACTCCGTTTCGTTCTACTGCGAACGATCCAGGGCTCGCGTTTGTTTATCCCGGGACGTCTGTAACGACGTCGCCGACGTTTAGAAAGTCGGTTTATAAAAGAGTATGTCGCTCCGGTACGTACATGTCTGTGTTTGCTAGGACGCCGTTAAGTTAGACGCCGGTTAGAAACTCGCGTCGTTTTATTTACTAGAACGTCATGTCAAAAACGCGCTTTGAATTCGCGTGATTAAATCGGACAGTGAGTTGCATATCGAGATTATACGGTCAAAACTCTAGAGGTGCTCGATTGTTGTTGTAAATTTTATTTTACGAGTCTTTAATTATAAATTTTCTTTCACTTTCATTACAATTTAAAGTCGTGAAACTTCATGGGGTATTTAGCATATAGTTAATTAATTAAATAAAGCCTTAATGTTATGTTATAGTTGACTGTGTGTTTTATTTCTTTTCATTTCAACACTCCCTGGTATCTCCACTGTATAAAAGCTACCCGTATTGGCGAAACGTGGTCCTCTTCCACTATAAATAACAGAGGTGGCGCCCGAGAGATTTAAATTTCCTACTGTACGCCAGTAAGGCTATTTATTTTTCACTGAACCAAAGAAAAATAAATTGAGACTCTTACAACTTTGTATTGGGTATAATGACCAATTGTCAAGGTCAGATTTTGAAAAAATTTGGGACTGGTGGTATAATATGCATGGATGCTACACATGGGACAAACTCATATGATTTCAAGCTTATATCTATTCTGGTTGTGGACGATTTTGGTGAAGGCTTCCCAGTAGCTTACTAATTTTCAAATAGAGGAGATTGTATAGTGTTAAAACTGCTCTAACAGGTGATGCTCTTATCGTACGACTTATCGAATCAGACAAGTCGTATCAAGTATAACGGCGCGTGTGGACCACAAAACGTACGTCTTGTATGATCGAAATAGGTTGGTACGATTTGACGAAAGTTTAAAGCGCGAGGCATCATTTTATGAAAATTGGATCGACAAGTTGGAACGTGTGCGTATTTGTTGCAATAAATAATAAAAAGTAATATGTCTGATCTTCGGCAGTGTTCCCGACCATTTTTAAGGGAATTTATTGAACTGTATCGTAGTTTTCCTTGCTTGTGGCAAGTTAAAAGTGCCCAGTATAGTGATCGCGATAAGAAGTCACAAGCATATGAAATAAAGGTTGAAAAATACAAGGAAATAATTGATGAAACGGCAAACAAAGAGACGGTTACCAAAAAAATTAACTCTTTACGCACTGTGTACAAAAAAGAACGCGCCAATATAATGAAATCCACTAAAAGTGGTGCTGGTGAAGATGATATCTACAAACCCACGTTATGGTACTTCGATTTGCTGGAGTTTCTGAGTGACCAAAATTTCTGTCTTTTTAATAGCCATTTCCTAGACCATCTAAGTCTTCGATTTTGTTTCTTTCAGGTCTTTACTACAACGCAAATAGCATAGAACGACCAAAGAAGCGCTTCTTCCATGACTGAAAACGTCGCGAAACTATATAAAAATGGACCGATTAATTGGAAGCGTGTGGACGCGCTAATTTTTGTACGTTTTGTCGAACGATTTGTCTGTACGTTTTATCGTCCGATAAGACGTTGTGTCTGGACCGGCCTTTAAGGCTGTATCATTCATGAGTGACGATGCAGAGCAATATTTTGCGGCCTGGAACTCGGTGATGGGTACTACTGCAACTAAAAACTTTTATGCATGTGGCATGTTGAGTGAAGCTAAGGTGATTATGATGCTTTAAACAAAATTATCAGTCAAACAAAATTTTCAAATTAATGTCCACTTCTCGGTTCACTTGAATTCAATATTTTTTTCTTTTTGAGACATAATATTGATTTTTTGTAATAACAATAATATTAACATCAGTATTGAAAATCATACAGAAAAAAAAATTCACAGATTTTGCAACATGCGCAACTATCATACGCGTATTGAAAATACCAGACATAAAAGTCGACGGTGGTCGGCAATCACCTGTTTTTTACATTTTATATTAACTTGTAACGTCATTTCGAAGAGCTCAATAGAAATATAAAAGAACTAAACCTTATTTGGAAAGCAATTTGACATTCGTGACGTCAGCATTCTGGCAGTCTAACGTATCGCTAGTCGCCATTCGCAAATAATAGGGTCGGCATTACTGGTCTTGTGTTCCGATTTTCGTGTGTACGAAACGTAAAATAAGATGTACTGAATAAAGACAGAAGGCAAGTATTTTCCCAAGCGCGTGGAATCTAGCGTCATATTAAAGTGATTATACATATAATAAATACTTCGTATTTTGGCTCTCTCCGACTTAGTAGATTGCCATAGCGATTCACTCCTATACATGTAAACGCCGACCCAAGGTTTTGCTCGCCAGTAGGGTATATTCTAG